GATGACGAGCACCAGAAGTACGTCATTGATATCGTCGACAACGTGCTCGTCGCCTTCTTCGCGCTTATGGGTGATGGGCTTGCACCCTTTCGGATTGTTGATACCTACCATATGTGCTTCATCGCGAAGTATCACCACTACGTATGGGAGAAGCGGAAGCAACGCAACGTGCCAGCCCTTCCGGATCATAACGATCTTCCTGATGACCGCGCTAGCGTCCTGGCTCTAGATCTAGAAGACGGTCGTACCGACCCCGATCAGAACAAGGACGATCTCGAAGAAAAGCGTGAGTACAAGATCCTCACTCCACTCCAGCAGCGCCGCCTTCAGTACCATGAAGCCAAGTTCAGCAAGAGTCACACCTTCTACAAGCCACACGAGACTGGTACACATCATGCCTTCCCACTTCGCTTACTCGTCGCCATCGTAGTACTCCTTGATTGCCACAGCATCTTTCAAGTCGCCCTTGGAACCTGCACGTGGAGCATCAACTACAAAGTCCGGTCGGAGGCACTAACAACAGTTATACTCTGTTTCAGCCTGACCTGTAACATCGTCGCCGGCATACTGATCAACGTCGGCGATAAGCGCACGCGGAAGAAGGACGTGCTGGATAAGATCTTCCGACAGAATCTGACGACGGAAGCGATCAAGCATATCCAGCGCAGACATGATGAGGCCGCTGAGGAGGAGGTCGGAATCGCGATTGCCGATGATGCAGTGCTGGGTAATGTGAAGGGTCTGAAATTGAGTCGGAAGAGCATGGAGGCGAGTCGAGCTGCAGAGCAGGAGGGCATCAGTATGGAGACGGATAGTACTGTTCCAGGGGCAAGTGAGAAGGCGACAGAGGCTGCAGGAAGTAGGGAGAGCGAAGGTGAAGGGTATGGGGAGCGGTCACAGAGGCCGCTGTCGCAGTTCTGAAGTAAGTACTGATCAATGGTGGTGCTTTTGCACAACGCCGCATACATCATCACATCACCATCTTTCATGACACCAACATCGGCGTCTGTGACGCCCTCAGAACGAACAGCACCAAGACATGGCGTCGAACATAGCCTTACCAACCAACAGTCTTTGCCAACACGACTTCCAGATACCTGGTTTATACTCTCAGGGCGAGGGGCGTCGACGCTAGTCTGCGCGACCGGACGCGACGACCTTCTCCCAACCTGTGGGGATCAACCGGCGCTATATGTGAGCGGCGCGCTGCCAACTGCGCCAACCCGGCTACTGCTTAAGGCCGCTCTCAGGGTTTCATGTACTATTCGTGAAGGGTAGAATGCTCTGCCTCTGTCTGGCTGGACTGAAACCGCAGATGGCAAGTGCTTTGGACTGCTAGCGTGCAAAGCCAACGATGCCAACAAGGAAGTGCAGTCGTCATTCCATAGCTGTACTCGTACGCTGCTACGCCGCAAGCTACCCGCGCCGTCACTTTGCTGGCTCGGGTGAGCAAAAGCAGTCGACACCCTCTGGAGTCGAACTAGGCGTACCTGAGGTCTGTCACATCCTGGCGCAATACAAAAGCTTATCGCCCAGCCTCAGATTCGAACTGAGAACCTCCGCTTCGCACAGCCTGCGCACCCGGGTGTGGGGGAGCTCCTGTGATGCCCTCCTCCCAACCTGTGGGTATCGTGAGACACTATATGTGAGCGGTTTCATGACCGTTAGACCAGCTAGGCCATTGATGATTACTGTTTGGATGTTTAGCTATATGCTTCCGAGTGGGACATATCTCATTTTCTCACATGTGAGCGCTCAGCATCGAGGAAGTGACCGCTGCGCGTCACACAAAGTGTCAATCGGCCTTCGTTTAAGAGACTTTCAGGGATTCGAAGACTACCAAGGGAGTCGAAGCAGGACCATACTGTGGGAGCACAGAAGAGAGCGAGCACGATATTAAAGAAGTCGCCACCTTGTTCCTGTTCTCGTGTATATCGTGTATCTCATAGCTCCATCCTTGTACAGTCATGAGACAGCCACCCAGCAGGCTACCGAACGTCGATCATATCGCCTCACAGCCACCCTCTCCCGTCCAGTCCACATCTCCCTCTTCCCCACCCCTCAAACAACAGTTGCTCTTCTCTCCCCACCCACAACCCCTCCAGCGCAATCCTTCCCCCTCTCCCTCCGCTCCCTCCACTTCTTCCTCAACCCCAACCCCTCAAGCTTCACTCTCGGCCGTCCCGCAATCTCAGCCATCGTGACATCGCCATAGAACCCCTTCAACTCCTTGCCCGCGGCGGAACTAGCTTCCAGGTACTTTTTCGACTCTGCCCAGGCTTGCAGAGCGGAGAGGTAGGCGGCGTGGGAGGGGAAGCCGCGGTAGGGTGCCTCGGGCTGTGGTGTTGAGGTAGAGGTCCAGACTGGGGAGGAGGCGCGGGGCGTGAGTGTGCGGCTTGGGGACGGGGCGCGGGTGGTGGGCTGTGAAGAGGGGGCGATGCTAGGTGTTGTTGATGGGGCTAGGAGGGGGAAGCGATCGCTGTCTGTTGATGAGCGGGGGAGGGGAATAGAGGCTTCTGTGAAGCGTCGTGGTGGGGGATGTGTGTTTGAGGAGGCCATAGTGGAAAGTATCGTTGTAAACAATGCCTTTCGACGGATTGTTGACAGACCTATCAATGATATGACATGGCAGGAATGGATTTACACGTATCACAGAATATCTATACCGCTGCAGTGTAGCTACATGGATGGATGTGGCGAATGCGCGGCTCATCGCAAGCAGTAGGTTCGTGAGGTGCGTATCAAGAGCGTCGTGGACGGCCAATCACGGCTTGGCGGGACTTCGCGTGTGATAGGCGTGAGAACGACTCTGTATTGCTATCAACCTTAGTATGATACACACTCTCGAAGTACGCCCTCATGGCATAATTCAATGCCCTCGATAAAGATCACCACCAGCGCCTCGCTTCCCAAAAGACTCCCTCGCACAAGCGCCCAAACCGTTTCGATCTCACACCAAGAGCATGGCCACAGCGCCCAGGGCGGCCACTCCAGCGATCCAGCTATACGCACTCAGTACGCGAGCGTCATTCAGGTAATACACCGCTCCCAGATAGGAACACGACAACTCCCCATTCACATCCCTCACACCATACCCAGCTTCCAGTCCCCTGCCCTTCCTCGGACACCCGAAGCCTAAAGCCGCCGGACAGCTCTGCACAAGACTGTAGCACAGATCCTCGCAAGGCAGTAGCTCTTTGTAGGGTCCTGGCTTGATCTGTGCATCAATCGTTGGGTTCCTCGACTGGTTCGTAGCGAAGGACGAAAGATACGTCTGCTGGAAGGCTGTGCTACCTTGGAGCGTTGGCGCGCCAAGCATAGGTGTGTAGTTACTGTTCAGCAGTGAAGATGAAAGCGACGTGCCGTTGGTGAAGGATTGCGCCATGTTTCGCATCTGTAGGTAGGACTTCTGCGAACTCCAGTCATCGCAACGTGGTATGCTGACCGCGCAGAGCCATTCCTTGTAGGCTGCTTCACAGTCGCTGCAATTCCTCGCGAGGGAGTATTGTGCATCCGAGGTCGTATCACAGGCTGTCTGCTGCAGACTGTACGTGAAGTTGTTATACAGGTTGGATGCTTGGCTGTCGTAAAGCGCTCGTAGGTCCGGCCAGTCAGGGTATGTCTCATAGTTCGCGGGGACGGCATAAGCGACTTTGTCGCAAAAGTCAAGATTGAAGACTAGTCGACAGTTGCCGTCTGCTTTGGTAGTCCAGTTCATGGGCTGCCAGACTCTGCCCCCGCCTCCTACTACTCCAGTGCCGGAGGCTGTCGAGTTGCCTTTAATGGCGAGGGTACCATAGTATGTACTTGAGCCATTCAAAGATGTGACATAGAACTGCTGCTTCGGCTTGTCGCCTAGTCCTCTCGTGATCATGCCCATCTCCATGTTCGAACTTGTGGCATTCGGATCAGATTGCTGAGCTTGGATCTGCGCGTTGTTCTGCATACCGCAGAACGACTTGGATAGCCCCATCGACTTCGTGTTCTGCGCACTGCTGGCGAACATCACGAACGGCGGAGGTAAAGATGTCCACTTCTCGTACAAGGCAGAGCCGGTATCAGCTTGCGTGAGATTGTCGGTCACGAGCAACGCAGCATTTGTATCCGTATCGACGAGGTAAAGGTACGGATCTGTCCCGTTCGCCTGGTGGTAATAGTCGTCGATTGAGACTGCAATATCGTAGTTCCATCCTCCAGAGAAGTCGGACGGCAGATCAGGTGCGTGAACTGCCATATAGAGATCACCGCTCGTTGACAGCGTGTAGTTAGCAAACCCTTCGTCTAGCGGTACAGTGAATTGCTTCAAACCGTTCCCTCCAGGACCTGGGGTCCCATTTTCGTTGTCACTCGAGATATAAAGGGTCAATTGTGGCGGGCCGGCGCTTTGCGTGCTGGTGCCGTTGTATGTCGGTTGTAAGCATGTGTTGACAGAGATGAAGACCGGAATCTGTATGTTCGCCTGTCGTCGGTCGAGCAAGCCCGCCGCATCGTCTTCCAGATCACGCCTCCGTAGCTCCCTGTGTCTCGCCTCCATTGGCCCAAGTCCCTGGTTGCCCTCCTCAAGCGCACTCGGCAGTCTCGCCCCAACATCGGCATGCTGAGCCTGGGAAAGCTCCTTCGGGTATCGCCATACCGTCGTCTGTCCGGCGACCACATTCAAGTTATTCGCCTGGTCATTTCCAGCAATGGCGCTCAACTGCTCCTGTCTTGCCCCAATTGCCACCTCTGCATCAAGCACCACCAGCTCCTCCCAATCGGTACCCTCCTTTCCTCCACTGTCCCCTACAAGCTCAATCCCTATCCGATGCCAATTATGATCTGCACCACCTTCCCAGCCCTCCCCTAGGTCAACTTCCGCCGCATACGCAAAGTGAGGATTAGACAGACTCCAGAAGACCAGCCCGAGCAAGCAGAGGGCTGTGAATGAGGCTACGAATCGCGCTTGCAAGGGTGTGAGCTGTGGGCATTTGCAGAGGAGCATTGCGGGCGCTGGGCGCGGGGAGGCGCATGGAGGGTGTGCGCATGAGCTGGGCGGGGAGGCGCAGGGAGGGTGTGCGCATGAGCTGGGCGGGGAGCATCGGGTATCGCGGGTGAGACAGCACGACTTGTGGGCAGGCGACTTTTGAAGTTGAGTACAGGCTTGTTATGTGTAGAAGATGCAATTGCTGCGAGTGGTGGACGTCGTGGTCAGTTCATATATATGATTGAAGTCTGGACGACGTCGTCAGCTCGGCCGAGGTGAATTGGAGCACGAAGTCAACGCAAAGTCATGTCATTGAGCAAAGTGGACGAGAATCCGATCTAATATGTACGCTTCTTCGCGCTGTGTATACCAGCTGAGACTTATCGTAGATGTTGTGCATGTGAACAGATCTCGTCGTCCCTGAGCGCCACGCTCCCTGACCCAACAGCCTCTGAGCTTCCCACTGCCTTCCCGTGCGCCACCGAGCACGCAGAGCAGTCTGGCAATGCGTGCAACGTACCACCATCTTCATTACGATCTACGCCGTCTTCACGACCTTCCTCCGGGCCTTCACAGTCATATCGTACAGCACATCCTTGAGCGCGAACAAGAATGCAGCCGTAATCACCGACTGCGTTACCTTGGGTCCTATGCCTGGGAGATGAAGTCAGTACAGTCTCATCCACTTCCTCTTACATTCAGTACTCACCTCCGTACAACCCACTAACGCCCTCCTCCCTGACGATCCTCTTCAAACTAGCAGTCATCCCCTCCCTCTTCTCCCCACTCGCCACATGCGCCCTCGATTTCACAGTAATGTACGGGTACGTGATACTGGTCGCTGCCAACTTCCCCAGCGCGCCGAGCAAGAAGCTGTCAGTCGCAGTGACCTTCCGTCGCTTCTCGAGCACCTGCTTTAGCTTTTCGAAAATCGTGTACTGCAAGATCGGATTGATGACCAAGACTAAAGCTGGTAGTACGCCGGCAAAGAGACGTGCTGGACCGTCTTCACGGATGATTTTGAGGAAGGTCGAGATCGTGCTGGGGGCGCGCCCCTTCTTTGCTGATGAAGGAGCGTCTCCTTCCTTGGTGGGGAGCACCGGGTCGTTGGACTCGGCTTTCCGGGCTGTCATGCGGGTGTTGACGACCCAGATGGGGTTTGTGATGAGGACCGTGGCGGATCCTGCTAGTGCGCCCGCGGCCATGGACTCGAGGGTTGACAGCCGGGCGTTTTGGGTTCTGCGTTGGAAGAAGGCGCGCGAGAACTCGTACCCTGGTGACGGTCAGCAATGATCACTCTCCAGCATGACAGCAGGTATGTACAGTAGTAGTACACGAAGTTCGTCACCGTGATGCCGAACAATGCGCTCTCTAATCCAGCGTAAAGACCCGCGAAGCCCTCGCGATCGATGATCCGCTTGATCGCCTGAAGCGTGTTCGTCTGCGCCCTCTTCGACTCGACTTGTGCGCGCGTCGATAACGTGATCAACGGGTATCTGCAGCATCACCATCGTCTCAGCATCGCCCTCATTGCCCCGAACCTTGCATTGCCCTCAATGCGACTCACGTTATAGCCATTGCCAGCAGCCCTCCTCCCGCGCCAGACAACGCGTGCGCTACATTATCGCTCTGTTGCGCCGCTACCGAGTGCGTCGTCGAGGACGTCGTGCCTACATTCTGTACCTGCGCATGCGGTTGCGTGGACGAGGGGAGGGG